TTCAAGTGCTAATTGCATCAGCTTCTTCGTCGATGGGCTTATGGTATTTCTTCTTCTCAAAAAATACGCTCAAGTCACTCGCAAATCCACACGCGGTATAGCCACACTAAAGGATGTCGACCGTTTTCGGAATGGGCTTTTTGAAAAATACCGCGAATAAATCAAGCTTATTGTGACTTAAGTTATGATACGCAAGCCAGTCATAAACTACAGGCCTTCTATCTTAAAAGCTACTGATATTCAAAGCTCTAACTACTATATGAAAGAACAATAGACTCAAGTGCCGATTGTCAACAAAACTGTACAGGTGAAATAATGAAGGATTGCAAACAAAGGATCAGCGAATGGTGTTTCGCCCCGTGTAAGAGAATCCGGAATCCGTAATCCACTAAAAAAACAGCTTTGGAATCCGGAATCCCTATCCTGGAATCCGGAATCCAAAAATCTGGAATCCAGCAAAAATTTTGATATCTAAAAAACACATAGGACATCGTCCCGCTGACGCCCCTGCGCAGGATACTGACACGCTGAATATAAATTTTCAGGAAAAAAAACCCTGAAAATCAAGCCATTTATTATACAGAATCCAAAACAAAAATTCTTTGGAATCCGGAATCCCAAGGCTTGAAATCCGGAATCCAATGTTTCGAAATCCGGAATCCAGCGCTTGGAATCCGGAATCCACTAGTTTTCTGGATTCTCTTACATGGGGCGAGGTGTTTGCGTTAGACCAAATCCGGGACCAAATGTCTGTCAAAGTAAGGACAACTCTTGGTCAACAATAACAATATTAATACATTTTCTTTTTTTACTATTTTCAATCCAAGGAAGGTTTTTAGTTTTACTTTATATTTGATAATTAAAGTATTTATTATTCTTTGCAATAATTGCGGTAAATTTATCAAGTCAAAATTATATAAGTCTTAATTATTATGCTATCAACTGGACTGAGAATTTATTATATTTTTTTGTCACGGCAAGAATAAATGAAACTACATATTCTATATGTATCATTAAACCAAGAGACTACACTAAAAAGAACCCCGAGTGCACGCTGACAAGCGTCTTGTTCTTTTTAAATCAACAGAAATTATTTTCAATACATACCAAGCACGAAGAATGTTCACATGCATGAATCCGAATCTGTTTGGCGAATTCAATGTATACTACAGGAATTTCCTTTGAACAGTTTCACGAGAGGTTTATCCACATTCCGACACAAGAGCAACAGATCTAAACAGTGCTGGTAGTATTTCTGGCCTCGATCTTTTTTCCATTTGCTCAGTTAGTGTTGTTTTAGAAATCTGTAACAGTGTTCGAAGCGATTCCAGAGAGTCTAACGGAACACTGAGAGGACCTCAYTAGGGTACCCTAGTCTTTATACTTTTGTCACTGGTTTCTGGACTGGTTTCTGGCTTTTTAGCCAATCAAAATTGATCTACTGTTGTTATGATCCACGACTAAAAGAATCTTTTTGTATTTGTATGTTAAATGTAAATATATGAGATCAACGAAGCGTTCGCATGCAGATTTGATGAGCTAAAAGTACCCGGAAATAAACTAATATCGTTTTCATCAGAAAGCTAGCCAAGACAATATA